TTTAACAAGTGGCAACTCTTCCAAAAAATTCGCCTATTTTCCACTGTAGGTTATAAGCAATCTGTGTGCAAATTTTCATGCAAATCCATTCAGTCTTTCCCGCATATTAAATAAATGAAACTTTTTTAACAGGTGGAAACTCTTAAAAGATTAGCCTATTAGCCAATCTGGCCCATAAGCTATCTGCGTACAAAATTTCATGCAAATCCGTGTAGTCGTTTCCGCGTGATGATTTCCCAAACATCCAAACATACAAACTTTCACATTTATAATATTTATAAGATAAGATTACTAACCCATGGTAATAGTTCCCAATCATTGGTAACAGTTCCCAAATATTGTCAAAATTCGGGAACTAAATATCTTTAGTTATCGAAACTAATCCTTTTTCTCAGTGTACATTGCCTTTCTGTAAGCCAACGATTCTCACCCATTTTGTCAAATTTAAAAGGTAAAAATTTCACTACTAAAAATTTAAAAAATGTTCCTAAAACTTGCAAAGAAATATCACTGGTTTTGTTTTTAGGAGTAGGGTGGGAGTGTCATTGATAAAATTAGAGTGAGAGAAAGTTTTCTTACAAAATCTTTCATTATTGAATCATGGCACACATGAAATTTTTTTGCTTGTTGTTTACAAAAAAAATTCTTGGCAAGTATATATGTCAAAATTGTTAAATATATATCGCTTTCATTCATTTATTCATAGAGTTGGTGCTTCTTTTATAGGAAAATTCATATGTCTTATGACCAGATTCATACCATCCCAGTAGAACTTGGGAGCATCGTACGATTGCTCGTTGAGTACTCCCTGGGGAGTATAAGAATACTCCATATTGCTCCCTATGCTTATGTGTATAAGCATGCAATTTTGTATACTCCCTTTAACATTGTATGTCCTTGGAGGGGGAGTAATCCCTTTTACCACCCAAACGAGCAATCGGGGAGTACAAACAGAAATATCATCCCACAAACCTCCTAAGGGAGCAATACGGGAGTACTCCCATAAAACCATCTCCTATACCTCTCAAAAAGACAATAAGGGAGTGCACATAGAAAACCATCCCACATTCCTCCCGAACGTGCAATAAGGGAGTGCTCCCATAAGAGGCATCCCGAAAGCCTCCTGTAAGAGTAATAAAAGAATTTTTCATTGCCCCACATATCGGGGCGTATTCTTGTTTTCGTACGAATCGAAAATCATGATATCTTCCGATCATATTGTATTCAAAAATTTCAAATCTTCGATTTGTATGAAAACCAGAATACGCATCATTAGCTAAAAGACTTTGCTATGTACGCAATCCATTTATTTGATTTCTTAATCACATGCATGTATACAATATTAAAGGATCTTAACATATGCCTATAAGTACGAAATCAAACATGAATAATACTTATTACATTATTGATTAATATTGGAATTTTAGTGGGGACAAATGCAAAGTAAAACAAAATAATAATAAAGATAGAATAGAATAATAATAAAACGAAAAGATAACTACATGATTTCCTGCGTGTCAGGGATGCTTTGGTGTTCAGGAGTTCACGCAAATAGGGAGAGTGTATAAAACTTTCTTGTCTTAACCACGATCAATGTGAAGGTTACTTTGCCGATCTGATGTCTATGTCACCCAGTAAAAGCTCTGGACCGGCATTACATAAACGTTAAAACTAGGGTTTCATACGTAAGTGCTGATACTAATTCGCCCAATCTGGAAAGTATTTAGCATTATATAATACAATCTTACTAATATTATAAATGTTAAAGTTTGTATGTTTGGATGTTTGGGAAATCATCACGC